TTGCGCTACATTACCAATAACAGAGCCCTTCTTCATCTCCTCTGGTATAGAATAACGAATCTGGCCACCTACCATGTTAACCACATGAAGCAGCAACATAAGCAGTCCTATTTGCCGTCGCAATCCACCAAACAATCGCCATTTTAAAGACATGTAAGTGGGTGATGTTCGAGTTGCCATCCTTTAAAAACAAGTCGTGGAAAGGTAGGGCGCATGTATATCCAATTAATATGACGATAATCTGGGTCTTGCTATTCCTGTCTTAGTCTTAAAATGTCTTCAACGTTTACTTTCAAGTCTATGAGATCATGCTCAAACCTCCGACAAAAAGAGAGAGCCTGCTTCACACTGTAGTCAATCAGGGGATGGACTGAATGACGACACAGTACAGAAAATGTTTTCCTGACCAACAGCGTCACTTAGAGTCTAAAAGGTGAACATGAAATAAGGCCTCTTCCACAGCGGTTAGACTTCAAAACAAACAAATTGAACAATTCTGTATCTAACGTGGAAATATCAAGGGGATGACTTTTATAAATTAAAACACGTTTCAAGTCAGCATTATGTATTATAACAAATTATCTGCTAAAGTCAAACGAAAAAGGACCCGCAAAAGACAAGACAACATCAAATCTCATTCTCCATCCATTCGCCTACAGTGCATTTCCTCGTACAGGGGAAAAAACGATTTAAAATCAAATAAGGATCATACAAATGGTAGCCATCTAGGAAATGTGGATGTTTAAATTCAAAAATCATATTACTAACTCCATCGAAGTAGTTAGTGATTTATGGCGTCTTATAACTCCCTACGTGGAATTTAAGCACTCTACTCTAAAATAGGTTTATATGAAACAATCCTGTAGGACACGTTCATGGATATGCAGTGAAAAAGCATGAAGAAGGTTTGTCGGTTCAAAAGTCTGAAGATTAAGTATGTGCAGGTTGCGGGTTCTGCGTTAAATTGTGACTCGTTGTTTAAATTTGAATCTTCCTTTCTTAACACGCAAAAATTGTATAAAGAACGAAATAATAAAAGTTGGCACTAAATATAGCACTGTCACGTGAAGTTTATACATTGCTAATGTAGCATTACTTTCCCAAAGTGTGTTTCAGCACTATAACATGCAGTGGTTACATAATACTGTTAGTGGGAGATTCGATTAGAAGCATATTCTTTCAAAAGCTCTGTCTATAAAGACTTAATCAGAAGCTGCATTTCTATCAGGTGATGCTGTCCATTGTGATGAAAATGCCAGTATGATATACAGTATCTTTTATTAACACAACAAAAACAGGAAAACGTACAAGGGGGGAACAGTTATTTAACTAACCTCTAGAGGCGATTCTGGTTCATCCAGGATGCTCTTTTCATTCTGTATCCGCTGCATCGTCCCTGTAGAACTGGGGTCCATTATCAGCACGTTCTGACTACCAGCTCTGCCGAACCTACAGTCACTCTTTCTGGAGTCAGTTGTCCTGCACACCTCGTAATTGTACACGTGTTGGAGAGTCCCTGTCCCTAAAGTGTCTGAGTAACGTGGTGGATAATATGGAATCACAGGGAGATTGGAGTGATACAGGATGCGAGACTGTCTCCATCTGTAGATTTTCATTGATATAATAACCACTAAACACGTGATGAAGAGGAAGGAAACTACAGCCAGAGCCAACACTAAGTAAAAAGTCAGGTTGTCATTGTACTCCTTGTCGTGTGTAAAGTCAGTGAACTCCGCCAGCACTTCAGGGAAGCTGTCCGCCACCGCCACGTTAACAATGACTGTAGCTGAACGAGAGGGCTGCCCGTTGTCCTCCACTATAACAGTCAGTCTTTGTTTCACTGCATCTTTATCAGTGACTTGGCGGATAGTTCTTATTTCTCCATTCTGTAAGCCCACTTCAAACAGCGCCCTGTCAGTGGCTTTCTGAAGTTTATAGGAGAGCCAGGCATTCTGTCCAGAGTCCACATCAACAGCCACCACTTTAGTCACCAGATAGCCCACATCTGCTGAACGAGGCACCATTTCAGCCACCAGAGAGCCACCAGTCTGGACTGGGTACAGAACCTGAGGAGGGTTGTCGTTCTGGTCCTGGATCAGTATTTTCACAGTCACATTGCTACTGAGTGGAGGAGAGCCTCCATCTTGCGCTTTGACTACTAGCTGAAGCTGTTTGATTTGCTCATAATCAAACGAGCGAACCGCGCTAAGAACTCCTGTTTCAGAGTTGATAGATACATAAGTCGAAACTGGACTACCACTGACATGTGTGTCCTCTAAAACATACGAGATTCTGGCGTTTTGTTTCCAATCAGTGTCCCTCGCGCTCACAGAAAATATTGAAATCCCAGGAGAATTATTTTCTATGATGTGAGCAGAATAGATGCTTTTATCAAATAACGGTGCGTTGTCATTCACGTCAGAGATTTTAAGATGTAATTTTGTTGAGCTAGAAAGTGCGGGAGATCCAAAATCAGTGGCTGTTATTGTTATGTTATATTCTGTGATAGACTCTCGATCAAAATGTTGATCTGAAATCAAATTGTAATAGTTTGTTAAAGATGACTCTATTTTAAAAGGAAGTTTACCATCTATAGAGCATTTGATTTGCCCATTTTTCTCAGAATCAGCATCCTTTACGTTCAAAATAGCAATCGTTGTACCAGGACGTGCGTCTTCAGATACCGGACTAGAAAATGACATAATATTTATAATTGGGGCATTGTCATTGACATCAGTAACATCCAATATAACTTTACTTGTCCCAGTTAGACCACCCTGATCCTTAGCCTCTACCCTCACCTCGTATCTTCTATCTTTCTCATAATCTATTTGACCAGACACAGAAATCGTTCCGGTATTTTCATCAATACTGAAAATATCGACTGCGCTTCCTTTCATTTTAGACAAACTGTAAATAATGAGTCCATTTGTACCACTGTCAGCGTCTGTAGCATTTACTGTAACAATGCTTGTGCCTCTCATGGTGTTTTCCATCAAAGATGCTTTATACACTGACTTGTTAAATACTGGAGCATTGTCATTGGCATCTAACACAGTGACATCTATATTGACTGTACCGGATCTCTGTGGTGTCCCTCCGTCTACTGCGATTAATTTTAAAGACAAATGTGGACGTTGTTCTCTGTCTAAAGGCTTCTGAAGCACCATTTCAACATATTTACTTCCGTCTGGATTTGCATGTTGCTTCAAAATAAAATTGTCATTTGGTGATAAAACATAATCTTGCAATCCGTTCAGTCCCACATCTAGATCCTCTGCACTCTGCAGTGGAAACTGTACTCCAACAACAGCTGATTCACTTATTTCAAAACTGATAGGTTTATCTTTGTTTGAGAAGACGGGAGCGTGATCGTTTATATCCAAAACCTCGACGGTTATTCTGTGCAATTCCATAGGATTTTCCAAAATCACCTCAAAGCTGAAGCTGCATGGTGTTACGTCTCCACAAAGCTGCTCTCGGTCTATTCTCTCATTCACGACTAGAATTCCTTTGTCTGTCTTCAGCTCGGTGTACTGGATGCTTTCTCCGGTCACGATGCGGGCCCGCCCAGAACGGAGTCTCTTCAGATCCAAACCAAGATCTTGCGCTACATTACCAATAACAGAGGCCTTCTTCATCTCCTCTGGTATAGAATAACGAATCTGGCCACCTACCATGATAACCACATGAAGCAGCAACATAAGCAGTCCTATTTGCCGTCGCAATCCACCAAATAATCGCCATTTTAAGGATATGTAAGTGGAAGATCTTCGAGTTGACATCATGGCAACAAAGAATAGCAAAGGGTGATTTATATCCGATCGATATGATGGCAAAGCTTGTTCTGAAATATCCGTTTCCTGGTTGCTCTAAACAAGTTTTCAAGGTTTACATGAACAGGACATGTTCGCCTCAAACCTCCAACAAAACAGAGAGAAGCTGCTTCACTGTGTAGTCAGTTAGGGGATGGATTGAATGACGACACAATTTAGAAAATATTTTACTGACCAACAGCGTCTCTAAGAGCCTAAAAGGTGAACACCAGATAAAGCTAAGACTACATTTGGTATAACACTAAAATAGAGTGACACAATTAACACATGTCTATCTTTTTTTCATAGACGATGAGTTTCAAGGCAATATTTGCAAATAAAAGCATTTATACTACAGGAGACCGTTATAAATAAAGCAGCCGTTCTTATAGGGAATAAAACATTCACATTATATATTCCACAAATTATTTATCTTTAAGAAAATAGGCATGTTTTAATTTTGTCACGGCAGCAATGCGTCATAATAAAGCATTTGCTTACAAAGTGTTCGATTAGCGCTAATATTGGAATTAAGCTGACTCCTATGTAATACATCAATGTGCAAAGTTCTGCATGAGGATTTTTGTTCAATGATGAAATGCCTTACTAATGTAAGGAACAGGCTATAGTGTAACTTTCATATATCTTACTGCAATGAAAGATTAGGTTATGGAAATCGGAGCAACGTATTTGTTGCCTTTAACGTGTTTATGGTGTTCTGTCATTTGGGATTAGTCAGCGTTAATATTTATATTGATTAATAATAATAAAAATCTTAACTAAGACTTCACTAACATTATGGCTACTTGGTGCTTTTAGATGTCAAATTTTAACCACACTCTCCCCACCCTTTAAACGCGTGGATATTAACCGAATAAAAAGGTTAGCCTTAAATGTTGTAGCCTATACAAAGATTAAGTATGAAAAGTACTTCTGCCATTCAAAATGTGTACACATGAAGTTATGGGATGCAATTTGACAGTTACATAGTCTACTGCGTTTTCTATTGTTAAATCTTGCAGAAGCAGAATTCGTGTCAATGATGCAAGGCAGCTGAGCTGTCCATGGTGCTGAAGATGACATCAGAGTGTGTAACTGCTTATAATGAATTCAGCTACAAATAACAAAACTAAAAAACCCAGACCAAAAGGAGAGAAACAAAGACGCACAAACGATGGTAAACTGTCAACTAACCTCTAGAGGGGAGTCTGGTTCATCCAGGATGCTCTTTTCATTCTGTATCCGCTGCATCGTCCCTGTAGAACTGGGGTCCATTATCAGCACGTTCTGACTACCAGCTCTGCCGAACTTACAGTCACTCTTTCTGGAGTCAGTCGTCCTGCACACCTCGTAATTGTACACGTGCTGCAGAGTCCCTGTTCCCAAAGTGTCTGAGTAACGTGGTGGATAATATGGAATCACAGGGAGATTGGAGTGATACAGGATGCGAGACTGTCTCCATCTGTAGATTTTCACTGATATAATAACCACTAAACATGTGATTAAGAGGAAGGAAACTACAGCCAGAGCCAACACTAAGTAAAAAGTCAGGTTGTCATTGTACTCCTTGTCGTGTGTAAAGTCAGTGAACTCCGACAGCACTTCAGGGAAGCTGTCAGCCACCGCCACGTTAACAATGACTGTAGCTGAACGAGAGGGCTGCCCATTGTCCTCCACTATAACAGTCAGTCTTTGTTTCACTGCATCTTTATCAGTGACTTGGCGGATAGTTCTTATTTCTCCATTCTGTAAGCCCACTTCAAATAGCGCCCTGTCTGTGGCTTTCTGCAGTTTATAGGAGAGCCAGGCATTCTGTCCAGAGTCCACATCAACAGCCACCACTTTAGTCACCAGATAGCCCACATCTGCTGAACGAGGCACCATTTCAGCCACCAGAGAGCCACCAGTCTGGACTGGGTACAGAACCTGAGGAGGGTTGTCATTCTGATCTTGGACACGCACAATAACTGTTGCGTTAGTAATCAGTGGTGGTGAGCCTCCATCTTGCGCTTTAACTGGTATTTTGTACTCTTTGACTTGTTCATAATCAAGTGAACGCAAAGACTGAATCACTCCACTTTCCGTATTAATGGAGAAGTATGAGGAGACAGGGTTTCCATTAACCTCGCTGTCAATAAGAAAATATGATATGCGTGCATTCTGACCCTGATCTGGATCAGTTGCGTAGATCTGCAACAGAGCGATACCAGGAGAATTGTTTTCCATTACTTTAGTGCTGTAAACACTTTGGCCGAAAGCCGGTGCGTTGTCGTTAATATCAGTAACTTCTAAAACGACAGATTTTTTGCTTGATAAGGTAGGCAAGCCCTCATCTGTGGCAGTGAGAGTGATATTGTACTTGGAACGCTTTTCTCGATCGAGGTTTTGTTCTGTAACCAATGTGTAATAGTTTCTGAGAGATGATTTAATTTTGAAAGGGAGATTTTCATCTATATTTATATGAACCTGTCCGTTTTTACCGGAATCTTTATCTTGGACGCTTATCAACGCCACAACTGTACCGGGAGCAGAATCTTCTGAAATCTTACCCGAATATGAAGCCAATGTGATGACTGGACTGTTATCATTTACATCTGCTATCTCGATAATTAATGTGCTGGTGCCCACTAAACCCCATGGATCTTTTGCTTGAAGGTTTATTTCGTAATATTGAGAAACCTCGTAATCAATGTCACCGATGAGTTTAACCTCTCCCGTGTACGAATTTATTTCGAAAGGACAAGAGGAATCCTCCTCCAGGTGGGTGAAAAAATATGTCACGTTACCATTGTAACCTTGGTCCACATCTACGGCACTGACTGTAGCAATAACTGTGCCTCGAAAAACATTTTCCAAGGCAGACGCTTTGTATAAAGGCTGCGTAAAAACGGGTGCGTTGTCGTTTGCATCCAGAACAGACACATTTATCCTCACTGTCCCAGACCTCTGCGGCTCCCCACCATCGGCAGCCGTCAATATGAGCGCATGTTCGCTTTGCTTTTCGCGGTCCAAACCACTCTGAAGCATCATTTCAGCGTATTTACTCCCATCTGCTCGAGTGTGTTGTTTGAGGACAAAATGATCGTTTGCTTTTAAAGAGTAACTTTGCAGTGAGTTTATTCCTACATCAGGATCGGCTGCATTATCAAGCAAGAATACAGTTCCTATGGGCGTGGATTCGCTAATTTCCAAATTAATTTCCTTTTTGGGAAAAACAGGAGCGTGATCGTTTACATCCTGTATTTCGATGGTAATAGAAAACAATTCAAGTGGATCTTCTAGGACAATTTCTAGACTAAAGCTACACGGAGATTTCTTGGCGCATAATTTTTCTCTGTCAATCCTTTCATTGACAATAATATGCCCTTTGTTCTGGTTCAGCAAGACATACTGGTTATCACCATCGATAACAAGTCGAGCCCGACCAGAAACCAACCTTTTTACATCCAGGCCCAGGTCTTTTGCAACGTCTCCGACAAACAGCCCTTTCCTCATCTCCTCTGGAACAGAATAACGAATTTGTCCACTAACCGCAGCAACAAGGCAGAAAAGCAAAATGGAGACTCTCCAATCCAATGATGTGCGTTTGCTCTTTGGAGTATCCATTTCTTCCAATGAACATCAGATCCAAAATAACACCGTTATCCGTTTAGGGAGCGGGGTGTCGTGTCTCGCTCACAATATGTACCACATATGTATTTTGGATAGTCTACTGTCAAATCCACAATGCAACCATCCAAACTACAGCCTTTGTAGGACATATGCACACAGTCATCGCCTATTTCCCTCAAAGGCGGGTGGGGACAATGTATCTGTGATAAGGCCGATGTTATACATGTCTCCTTAGGCAACAGCACCACCAGCAGTGACTAAGTTAAACAACATCAGTAAACCGCAGTGGACCAATGCTCCACTGTCTATCTAGTCAGTGTATCCAAACTTTACAGCTCTTTCTGCCTATCTTAATGGCACTGAGCTTCAACATCAAAATCTTTGTATCTTTGTATTGTGTTGGGAAGTGCAACAGCTCCATACTCTCAAATGTAAGAGAGTGAGCTGATGAGTTTGATAGACAATATGCTGAAGACCAAATTAAAGTAAGTAAAATGAGTAAAATGGTATGGATGGATGGATGGATGGATGGATGGATGGATGAATAGATGGATAGATGGATAGATAGATAGATAGAGAGATAGATAGATAGAGAGATAGATAGATAGAGAGATAGATAGATAGAGAGATAGATAGATAGAGAGATAGATAGATAGATAGATAGATAGATAGATAATCTCCTCTCTCTTGATCCAATCTAACTGATGAGCACAGTGACCTACATTTAGCAGTGGAATTAACATCTAGTACAACACAACTGCAACACTCATCCACAAGCATAAACGAATATTGGAAAATATCGCAGCAGTGTCATTTCTTCTGTATGTACCTAAAACATTATGTTGGCACAGGTAAGAATGCCTATTTTAGAATGGGTCATCATGGTGCTTTGCATTGTCCCCTGCTCACACACACAGTATTAGTATATACAGCTGCAGAGCATGACATTCCGCATATCATGATTGTGCATTATTCAGGAAATGACTGCACAGCAGCAGCAGCCAGGATTATTAATATTCATGTAATTTAAAGCCTGGGGTAGAATCTCCTAGCACATAAAAATAAGGGCAATGCAGCTGCCTCTGGTACAAGACTGCAAGTTCCAATTTCAGTCTTGCATGAATATGGCTTCCAAAGCATAATTTTTAGAAGAAATGTGTCTTATAAGTATTCATCATGTTGGGTATGTTAGCTGGTTTCAGCACAGTTTATGTAATGTGAAAAAGAGATACAGAGGAAAAGAGATAAAATACAGACATAGAAAAAGGATAGAAACTCATTCCGGGTCAACTCATTGATTGTGGTAGTTGAGTGTGGTGTTGATGAGGCTGTGATACTAATGTAACAGAGTAATAGAAATAGTGTACTATGTGGGATTTAAAGAGACAGGAAAATAATTAATTGTCTTACCTGTTCGATCAAAATGGAAGTTTCATTCAGAAAGAGCAACAAGAAAAGAAAGGAGAAAAAAGAGAACAGTTAGTATGAATCCTGATAAATCCTGAAAAAAACAGTTTAGTCAGATCTTATAACATTCATTTACATTCATATGCATTATGTACATATCCACAGGGAAATAATGAAATTTGGGTTGATCTTGTGACATATCTGACACTGTGATGTTGTAAAACTGCTCCACAGAAGTCACCATGAACAAAGTGCAATAGGAGAACTTCAATGGGCTGATTTCACCAAGATACACTTAATGAATAATTAAATGAATGAATGAAATACTTTGTTGGTCTTGGTAAATAATAATAAAACATTGTCAGCCAAGCTAAAGTTTCAGCTTGCTCAGCTGTGTTAGTCTCCATTCCCTCCTCAGAACATTATTAGCAAACCACAAATGGAGCTGTGGAACTTCCTATTTTTAAATTAAACCATCAACTTTGACTGTCAGTTGGCAGCAGACACCTTTAAGACTGCTCTCACCTCTAATGTAACCTGTGTTGAAAAACCTTTTGGAAACTTTTAGACTTAAAGTTAGTCTATTTTTGGCCATTTAATTATATAAATTATGTCTTAACTTACCAGACCTCATCACTTAAAAAGTGTCAATGAATTATCACCTCTGGTGAATGATGTGCTAGAATCATCTAGTTGGGTGATAACATGGCATCAAATTGAAGAGAATGAAGAACAAGAATTTGAGGTCTACACAGTTATCAAGTTAAAAATATTGTCTCTACACAGACTTGCAGCTTAAAAGTGTCAGCAAGGACACTCCTAGAATTATATATGCAATGTGTCAGCGGTTTTCCAAAATTTCATCCCCTACTTTGCACAACATGTGTATAAAACAAAACTGCACATGCGATTAAAGTCACTGGAAACTCTGTGATGTGTTAATTGCCATAAGCCATGCTGTTGCTGTTGACATACTTTTCTATCACTCCAATTCTGTCAACTACACTGCTTAAAACAGTATTCTTATGCTCTAGATAACGATAAAAAAAAAATAAATAAAAAAAAAAGATTAAGCACTGCTTCTTTTCCCCCTCCTACCATAGCTGAAATTAGGAGCACAAATGGGCCTTCAGCTATAACACCAAGAGGAACACACATGGATTCATATGGAAATTCTTTTGATGACAAAACCTATCTGCTTCACTACCATGACACAGTCAGCAGCAGGCAGGAACACACACATACAGCCACTTTATGTAACATAGACACATCACCATTTAACTGTTGTATAAGACCCTAACCACTGACTTGAGTGAAGCTTCAATAACTTTCAACATATATACATACATATAAAATGAATATTATTTGCTCGTGTTAATGTGACTTTAAAAGTGCTTTGTTTTTTTTGTTTGTTTTTTTTAACTGTTTTGTATTGCATGTTTACTTTTGTATGGCTGAAACCTTTGTGTCATTATGCTAAAGAGGTTTTAGTAGAGTCTTATTGAGAGGTGGTCTCAAAAAACAACATGACTTGAAAAAAAAGAAAAAAGTTTATCCACAACAACTTGTATCTGTTGAAAGTTGCAACTTTCGTTCTATGATTAGCTGGATTTGTATGGCATTTTTAGCAAAGTGTCAGATCTTTTGAGAAAAAAGAAAGACCACTATTACTATTTGAAGTTATTATTTGTGCTTCTTTCAAAATGCTCTCTCCTCCATTTCAAGTTATTACACCTAACCTGCTGTGTAACATTAACTCTAAGGAAAGCATGAAGAAAAGTGGGATTTCTGAATGAAGCATATTTAAGTGAATAATGTCTAATGTAGAGAAGAAGATGTCACATCAAAGAAGGCAGCAAACCTCTGAAAGATAATCTCTAAATTCAAGAAGTAACATCTTAATAGATGAAATGTAAGTAATGAATTCATCAGGCTTTAATGTCTGACCATCAAAAATCTATGACTGAAAACTTCGCTTTTTCAATAAATTTAAAGCTGAAATGGAAGGCAGTCTGGACCTTTTATATAATGCACAATAAAAAGAAAAAATAGGTGCCATGAAGTAAACAGCCATATTTATGACAACTGGATGAGTCTTTAATTTAAAGCTCTTTCTACTATGGATTGTTGTCAGCTGACACTGCGACAAAGACATGCATGCAAGTTTTTTTAAGTAATTTTTTGGGGCATTTTTTTTGCCTTTATTCTATAGGACAGAGAGAGATAGACAGGAAAGAGAGAGAGAGGGGGGATGACATTCAGACTTGAACCCATAGCCACTGCGGTGAGGACTAAGCCTATTTGGTAAGTGCGCTACCAGGTGAGCCACCGAGGCGTCCCCAGGGTGCAAGTTTTTTTTCTTGTTCATTAGAGTTGTATTGTTGTTATGATGCCCATCAGTTTTAGTTTTCTGTTATGAATGTCCTTCCCCTGTGTCCTTTTACAAGTTCTGTGCAAAAGGTCAGTAGGCCAGTGGAGAAGTAGAACACACTTTTCTCTTCATGTTTATTTTTCATTAAATGTATACAGTCTGTTTGAATATTTTTCAATTCGTGACATATAGCACCGGGTGTTTTTTACATGTCTCTGTCACACAAGAAATCATGTGTTATTTTGTGAAAACATAACATATCAATATCAAAACTTGGTTGAAGTGTTCCAAGTACAAATGAACTATAAGTAAAAGTGCAAAAACATAAAAAGAGGCAAAGACAGGTACCCCAGCAACAAAGCAAAACTATAACCGCTAAGATTATATTCCCTCCTCTCAGAAGCCACATTGATAGAGTAGTCAAAGTGGTCTACCATGCATTTTTACTGCAGGATATAAGACACATCAACTAGATGTAGGCTAATTATTTAACTGGTTGTATTCCTCTTTAAAACAATCCAATATTTATGTTTGAGCTTTTAAGGGAAACAGGTGCTACTCACACTTATGTTGTTCTTAAACACTATGTTCTGTTGTTAAGTTAGTTAATTAAGCTATAGAAGCAATGCACATTTGCAGATAATAAATCAATGGAAAGAAAACATGGTGAACAAGCAATCTGGAAAAGAGACAGACAGACAGACAAAGAGAGACTGCTAACTAGACAGAATAGAAGACTAAAATGAGGCAGGCAAACAAGACAAGCCTGACTAAAGTTACCACAAACAACTGCCAGTTGTCGATACAAACAAGAATAATTACTTTAATACTATTTTCAAAAACATTCCAAAAGATAGACTGGGTACAAGGTTAAGATTGCCTCTGTATTTAAATCGGATCATGGGGGATAAAGTTGAAATTAATAGCAGATCTCCAAGACCATTACAAAACATTTTGATGCACTAACAGCATATTCATGCATAAATAGATGTGTAGAAAAATGCCATCATTTTAAATATACACAACAGCATGGGTTTTTCTAGTGATTCTATAAACCATGAGAAAATCTGACGCAACCATTATGTATTTGACAGTCAGAAGGTCCAAATTTATTGCACAGAGATTATTTGGACTCTCATTTGACCACGTAGCATGGATGAGGTACACCTGCCCTCACCTTCAGACTAGCTCTGTCTGTACTGGTGCGCCTTAGGGTGTTTTTTTGATAGGCTGCACTCCTTTTCTTTAGTGTGTCAGTGTCTGTGCTTGAGCCAAAACGAAAATCGCCTCTCCACGACCCAGTGGTCAAGAAGGAATCATACCGATCATCTTTCAGCAGGGTCCCACAACGACTTAAATCTGTAAAGCTAGGGGGGCAATACGTGGTGGGGAATACGGGGAGACTGGTGGCGGTTGAACGGTACACATAACCACGCCGACAGAGCTTAAAATAAAACACTCCACTGATTAAAAGGATGAAAAGAGAGGAAACGGTTGACAGAGCGATAATCAAATAGAGCGTTAAGTTGTCTCTGTCCTGTGATTCATCAGCAAGCTCAAAAAGTTCACTTAAAACAGGCAGACCGTCACCAATTATTATGCAGACTGTAGCAGAGGCGGAGAGAGATTCCGACCCGTTATCCGTTACCAAAACGACAACAGTTTGTTTCGGTTCGTCGTCCTCTATGAATGTTCGCATTGTTCTGATTTCTCCTGTGTGCAGACCTACTGTAAACATGTTAGGCTGCGTTGCTTTGATTATTCTGTAGGAGAGCCAGGCGTTATGGCCAGAGTCGGCGTCCACAGCAACCACTTTAGTAACCAGGTAGCCTTTAGGCGCTTCAGCTGGCACCATATCTTCAGCTATGAACCCGGTGCTTTGGACAGGATATAGCACAACGGGTGTATTGTCATTTTGGTCCTCAATGAAAACATTTATAGTACAGGTAGTGGAGAGTGCGGGGTCGCCTCCATCTCGAGCTGTCACCTTAATTTGGAAGTGGACTGACTGTTCATAATCAAAGAGACGCGATGTGAAGAGCTCCCCTGTTTCTGAGTTGATGGTAAGAAAAGAGGACACTTCTGACTTTGTGTCCTTTGATATTTGGTACAGTACTTTAGCATTAGATCCATCGTCTGTGTCTTCTGCTGTCACTTTCATCACAAAAGTGCCAACGGGTTGGTTTTCCAAAATGTTGGCATTGAACTCGCTCTGCGTAAAAGTTGGGCGGTTATCATTTACATCATTAACCACGATTGTTAGAACTTTCACACTGGAGAGTGAGGAAGAGCCCGCGTCAGTGGCAGTGACTGTGATGTTGTACTCTGGTTGAAGTTCTCTGTCTAGTATTCCGTCAGTCACTAACATGTAATAGTTTTTCACCTCTGATAAAAATTTAAATGGAACATTGTCTGAGATTGAACACGTGACGCGCCCACTGCTTCCTGTGTCCAGGTCATAAATATTAATAAGAGCAACCATAGTTCCTGGTTTAGAGTCTTCAGCCACGTTAGCAGAGACTGACTTTATTTCTATCACTGGTTTATTATCATTAACGTCAATTACATCAATTATAAGTTTACAGTGAGAGGCCTGACCTCCGCCGTCTTTTGCCTGAACATCCAGCTCGTGAGTACTGGCCTCTTCATAGTCAATAAGACCTGTCACCTTTACTTCTCCACTCAGTGGGTTCATTTCAATAACTCCTGACATCTTGTCTGAGAGGTGACTGAAAGAGTAGGTTATCTCTCCATAAACACCTTCATCTAAGTCCGTGGCATTCAGTGTTGCTATGACAGTTCCTACGGCCGAGTTCTCTGGCACAGAGGCTTTGTAAACTCGTTGGCTAAAAACTGGGACATTATCATTGGCGTCCAGAACACGGATATGGATAGAAGCAGTTCCTGATCTGAATGGATTTCCCCCGTCAATTCCGTTGATTTTAAGCACATGTTCAGCTTGTGCCTCCCGGTCCAACGCTTTTTTGAGAACTAGTTCAGGATAAGCATTGCCGTTTATTTGGGTAGTCATTTCCAGTGTAAAATGGTCATTCGCGCTCAGTTTATATTCACGGACAGAGTTGGTACCCAGATCGGGGTCATGCGCGCCCTCCAACGGAAATCGCCTCCCTAGAACTGTGGATTCCACTAAATCTAGATTTATTTCTCCCGCAGCAAAAACGGGACTGTTGTCATTTATATCTGTAATATCCAAAACTAAGCTATATGCTTGAAGGGGATCTTCAAATAAGAGCTGATACTGGAGGATGCAGACAGCTGCTTGCGCGCAGAGCTCCTCTCGGTCTATCCGCTGGCTGATCAGAAGATTGCCTGACGCAGTGTCCAGTTCACATAGTTGGCTGGTTCCTTCTGCAACAACCCGGACTCTGCGAGCATCAAGCTCCGTCACTTTCAGCCCAAGATCCCGCGCAACATTCCCGATAACAGACCCTCGCTGCATCTCCTCTGGAAGGACATAGCGGACTTCTCCAAACGAAACACCAAAAAGAAGGCTGAACAACAAAAAACGCAGCCACCGTTTTAAGTTTACTCGCTGGTCCATTATTAAACATGCTTTCAGAAACAAATGTACTATCGACATTATGGATAAATCCTAAATATATACAACCAAATATAGAACTGAAAATGCCGCTGTAATGCACGTTTCCCTGCTTCTCTAGCTGAGTTAATCATGCTCTATTAGGGAAGCTGTCAGCTTGGATTCCTCTCGCTATCCCCGTTTCACTCTCTCTCTCTCTCTTTCACACACACACACACACACACACACACACACACACACACACACACACACACACACACACTAACCCACTCGCTCACAAGCACTCTCGCTCTCTCTCTTCTTCTCTCCCCATACACACCCACACCAACACAAACACGCTTGCATACACAGCCCTTGGCTCTAACCCAATACTCCAGTTCCACTGACACAGATAGGGTGAGACAGGCCATAGCATCCTCGAGTCAGTGAGTCAGACATTATAAAAGAGCGTCACCCAGAGACTGAGAGGATAATTACAACAGTGGACAGTATGCAATGATATTAATATATTATATTTGTTCATATTTTAATATAAGTTCATGCCACACCTGACCAAGGTAAGCCCAGGCAAAATCAGGGTGTGTTAACTTAATATTACACAAGATGAATAACATCCATGTTTGAAGAAGCAGAGGATGGACACACTAAAAGCAACACATGACTAAAGTAATGCAATACTATACAGTACTTTTGCAATGAATACCACCTGCTTAATTCTTATATGTCTAATTTAATTATTCCTCATTTTGATTCTTCTGACATAGTGATTTAACTAATATTTTCAGACTAGAGTTTGTGGTGTGGTATTGATTGAATTGCATTGCACTGGATATTAACACACTCATACTGTAAGTGTGGATATGGCAGTGGACTTTGCACACACACTCCTCCAGCTAATCATGCTCAACAACAATATGCTGGCCGTGGAAACCAGCAAGTTTCTGGGATCTACAATCTCCCAGGAACACAGGTGGGTCTGCAACATAAACTCCATTACAAGTACAAAGTTACTTCCTATGTTGTTATGGAAGATTAGCTGTTGATCTAGTTCTACAGTGCCATTACTGAGTTTGTTCTCTGCACATCAATCACAGTCTGGTCTGGACAGGAATGGGTTTGAACATTGAGTTAAATCTCCAAAAAATATGTCTGGGGCCAAATCACACAGCATCCAGGACTTATATGTCTTACAAAATACAGGGGGCAGGGAAAAAATCACTGCAGACCCCTCACACCCTAAGCATTAATTGATTCAACTTCTTCCTCTGGTAGGTGCTACAGAGCACAAACACGCAAACAGCCAACACCACCCAACACAGTTTCTTTCAAGAGGTCACACTCAGCCAGTTATAGAAGCCATTGTGCAATAACATTTACTTAATATCCCCTCAGTATGATATACAAGACCACTGTAAACACTGAAGATGGATTCCTCCATCGATATATGCCCATGGTGCAAACTCTGAATGAAGAGTAACTTATGATCAACACAGTATTATGCAGCAGTGAGTCCAGAGAGAAAATGTCCAGATGTTTTTCTGGTATGTGACAAACATTCAAGTCAGATATATGAGAATTTCATAGTGCATCAAACTGTCCAACAGAGAATTTGACAATATGACATAAATCACTGTTAACCACAGTGTCCAACAAAAAAATAAAATGCATGTTAAAACACCTCAAACATGACAGTAAAGAAAGCCAGGACCAGTGAAAGTGCAGTAATGGAGAAAACAATAATAAGTGGACTACTCTTCTTACTCTGCTATGAATAAGGTGGAGTTCTAAAAATGTATTTTGTGTAACACTCAGAGATTCAAAGGATAACAAATTTGTAAGTTTAGTTTTCGTTTTGCCCCGACCACCATTGATAACTACAAAATAAAGTGAGTCCAGCATTTAAAGTTGTTGTAAAGGCAGGATGAGCACACAGCAGGAAGGTATTTTTGCCAAAAATTACGAAGAGTTCAGAGATGTACTGCTGCACCGAAAAACTTTGTTATTTAAACTCAACTGACTATATGATTTTATCACTAGACATATTTTACTGATCCTGCTTAAGGATAAATGTAATAAAAATCTGTAGAACTACTGTGACATAGTATGCTTTCAGTTTGATATATTGGAGATTCCACTTAAAATTACTGAAAGGAATATAAGGTTATTGCCTGCTGAGTATTATTTCACTTTATTACGAGTCTGATCTGTGTATAGATAGATTTATATTTGTTGCTTGATGACCAGTGTTAGACACATTGAACACCTGTCTTTACAATCAACAGTGAAATAAGGATTGCAATAATTAATTGAGTTCTGGGAAACCTAATTAGCTTAATAAACCAATCAATGTTACAACAGCAATTTGAAGTCACTGCTAATGTTCAGTGCCATTCTCCATCTGTCATTTGAAAAGGCAGAGTACCTGAGTATATGGTTACCTAGATATTTTCTTACAACTACAATTTTTTAAAAATGTAAAAATTACAATAAAAAGTGAACTGGTGTAGATTAGTTAGGGTCAAATATAATTGTTTTATTTAAGAGAGAGAAAAAATGTTGTTGAAAAAAATATTTTCAATGTTTTCTCTAGCAAATGTGATACTAAACTCTACTTCTCTTTCAGACATGTAAGTTTAAGTACAATCTCAAGGGACTGAAAAAATATCTTACACTGAAACTAAATGGAGCAGTGTCTTATTCAGGTGAAAAAATTAAAAGAAGGAAAACCTAAATAATTTGGATTAAAACATTAAACTCAGTGAGACTAAAAAGGGAGCACATATTAGAAAGACAGGTCGAGCCCCCCAAAAACAATGCGTCAGGAAATCACTGTTCAGCACCAAGGACAGAGAATCAAGCCAGAGCAGTGAGATGTATTCTCCTGACAACATGAACTCATGTGAACAAACGGAGGCAGGTTGGCCGTGTGTGTGAGTGTGTGTGTCTTGTGTCGCTGTGTGTGTGTGGTGTGTGTGTGTGTGTGTGTGTGTGTGTGTGTGTGTGTGTGTGTGTGTGTGTGTGTGTGTGAATCAAAATGTCGAAAATGTTTCATAGATCTGGGACAGATGACATGGAACATGTCCCTACCTCAGGAGATTCATTAACATCCCCAAACGCATCAGCAAAGTCAGAAGGACTTTTCTTCAGAGTCTGGTCAGCAGGAAGTGTGTTGTCATTATAAGATGTCACAAACTTAAAGTCACTGGTTCTAGAACCTGTTGTCAGGTACGCGTCATAATTGTAAGTGCTGCGTAAAGTTCCTGTGCCGTCAACATCTGCGTAATTAGGAGGCAGATAAGCGCTGGGGATGGCGACTGCTCCGTCAAACAACAGTCTGGGCTTTCTCCTGCGACAAAACCTCACACCCAGGATGATGATGATGAAAGTCAGAAAAAAGGTGGACACAGACACCAGAGCGATGATCAGGTAAGAGGTCAGTTTGGAATTCTTCTCATCATAAGAAATATCCTTCAGTTCTGGCACCTCAGCCAAGTTATCAGAAATAAGTAAATACATGGAACAGGTGGCAGAGAGAGAGGGCTGTCCGTTATCTTTCACTGCCACAATAAGGTTCTGTTTCATGCTGTCAGATTCAGAAATGTCCCGCTGTGTCCTGATCTCTCCGCTGTGGAGACCAATAGTAAAAAGTCCCGGATCAGTGGATTTCACTATATGATAGGACAGCCAGGCGTTCTGTCCGGAGTCCGCGTCCACCGCTATCACTTTGGACACCAGAGAGCCTCCGTGTGCAGCTTTGGGGACCAGCTCGGTCATGAAGGAGTTGCCCGCCGGGGCGGGGTACAGTATCTGAGGAGAGTTGTCATTCACATCTGATATGAAGACACTGACGGTCACGTTGCTGCTGAGCGGAGGAGAACCGTTGTCTCTGGCCATCACGTGGACTTTAAAGCTCCTGAACTGTTCATAATCAAACGACCTCACAGCGTGGATCACCCCCGTGTCTCCGTTAACAGACAGATAGGAGGACACCGGGGCACCGTTCACCTCACCAGCTAACAGAGAATAAATCACTGTACCGTTTTGTCTCCAGTCGGGGTCTCGAGCAGTAACGGAACATAAAGTGGAGCCAGGTTTGTTATTTTCAGTCACATATGCGCTGTACGACTGTTCCTCAAACACAGGTGGGTTGTCGTTGATGTCAGCTACAGATAACTCAACAGTTTTAGAGGAGGACAGAGGTGGAGAGCCCTCGTCAGTGGCAGTGATTGTAATGTTGTAATCAGACACTAGTTCACGGTCCAGTTGTCCTGTGGTCACCAGAGAATAATAGTTTTTAATAGAAGGAACCAACTTAAAAGGGACATTCTGCTGAATGGAGCAGCGGACCTGTCTGTTATTCTCTGAGTCTCTGTCCTGCACGTTAATGATGCCCACCTCTGTACCAGGTGGAGTGTCTTCTGGTATGGGATTCTTCAGTGATTTCAAAGTGACTACAGGGGCGTTGTCATTCACATCAGTGATATAAATTATTACTTTAGCATAGGATGAAAGCCCTAACCCATCTTTTGCTTTAACGCGTATTTCAAATGTTGTAGTAGTTTCATAATCAACAGCACCGATTACTCGTATCTCACCTACTTTACGGTCAATACTAAATATCTTCTTCACATCTTCAGTAACATGTCCAAAGTCATATGTCACATCTCCATTGACTCCCTCGTCTGCATCAGTCGCGCTCACTGTGACCACCACAGTATCTAAAGGAGAGTTTTCAGGCAGACTGGCTTTATAAACGGCCTGGCTAAACACTGGGGCGTTATCATTAGCATCCAGCACAGTGACGTGTATGACTACGGTACCTGATCTCTGAGGGGAGCCACCATCTAGAGCTGTGACGAGCAAATTAATGTCCTCTTGTTTTTCACGATCAAGCTCTTTATCAAGAACGAGCTCTATTGTGTTTCCGTCAACAGCCAAAACGAAATTCTCGTTCTTCTTAAGGCTGTAGTGTTGAACTGAATTTTGGCCTACATCCGCATCGTGTGCCTCCTCTATCACAAAACGAGCTCCCCTGACTGTGGATTCTTGAATTTCTATATTGATAAATTCTTCGTTAAACTGTGGTGAGTTATCATTAATATCTTGGACGTGAAGACTAATCCGATGAAGTTCAAGAGGATGCTCCAGCACGAGCTCATGTTTTAGGATGCACGAAGCCTTTTCTCCACAGAGCCCCTCTCGGTCAATCCTGTCGGCAACAATCAATTCTCCGTTATTCAGGTTTATGTCACAGTAACGTTTGTCAGTCCCGTCAGTGTCAATGCGGGCTCTCCTTTTAGAGAGCACGCCCGTTTCCAGCCCGAGATCCTTGGCTATATTCCCAATAACTGATCCTCGTTTCATCTCCTCTGGAAAAGAACAGCTAATGTCTCCATATGCGATATGCAAAAAAAGAAAGAGGAAACAGAAGCAGCGCGGCTGAAACAAGATCATTTTAGAATCCATAATCAATGATGAGTTTTTGTTGAAGATTAAAGCGAACAAAAACAATTCAACCTCATAACACGGATAGCAACTGCGATTCCAGGGCGATTGTGACAAGATACAAGAGCACAAAAATGCGTGTCCATACCAGAGGATAGAGGGATTCAAATGTCTTAAGCCTGGTGTATAGCGCCACCGTGAGTTAGGTTCAACAAAAACACTGATAATATAAACAGAAGCAAAATTTCAAAGTGGCTGCAGCCTGCTTACAATTACTGTTCATCTATTGAACAAACACAACATCTATGATGTATAACCAATATTTTCAACTGTAGTTATGCATGAGGTTCAAAATCAGGAGACAATCAGGAAACTAGCAAAGTCAACAATCAAGGCTTACAGTCTACCTAAAATGCAGACTGATAACATTCAGGCTATGCATTTATATGAATTCCCTATTTTGCATTCATAAACTCATGACTGGCATATCTCTAACCTTATGTTTTGTTACTGTGAGGATCCAGTCTTTGTTCTGTGATGTAGACTTCATTTCCTCACAGTCACACTGCCTCAGGTTCACCAAAACATGGCTGCGTGCAGATAATCTAAAATAATGGTAGCTGTCAGATACTCAGTCAATCCACAGAAAAAAAGAAGAAAAAAAAAGGGAGAACAGCTGTCACCAAAATCACTGTACACTAGAAAAAAATATCTGGGTGACCTAAAATGGAAAATTGCTCATTCTTTCAACATGGCCTATGAAGATTACCTGCATGAACTTCAAACTGTATTCTGATGGTCAAGGTGACTGGTATTCTGCCAAGTCACAACCTGAGAAAATGTATTACTGGTTTACAGCATAGGATCAAGCCTGTTGAAAACACAGACTGGATAAAATAGACATGATTCAGTGATGAATATGAATAAAATAAACACCATTCATTCAGAGCATATCAGTGAGCAAGCACAATCACTGCAGAAATATCCATGTGGTCACACACTATTTTACTATTATTTTTTCTCTCTTCATTTGTCATGTATTTTCACTTATAGTGGTCAGACGAGAAAGAAATTATCCATATCAAACCTCAATCAATAGGAAGCCTGAAGAAATGCCTGTTGAGAAAGCGTAGCGGATTGGATTCAAAAGTAAAGATCTACAGGCTACCGGTGATGCGATCCATCATGTCTATGTAGGTTTTCAGTCATTCATCTTTTAAGGTTAACATACCAATCTACTAGATAACATGATAACATAAGTTCCATGGGCTTAAGTGTAACACCACAGTGAGCGTTTACATTTATTTATGTTGCAGAAAACCTCTGTCCAGAGCAACTGTAAATGAGGTATAATCCAAGCCACAGTCAATCAAGTCTAAGCCATCATGAACAACTGACAAAGAGCTCACTTAGAAATTCCTTCTGACACAAGGGACAGAAGATTGCAGGTGTATTAGATGAGACAAAAATGCATAACAAGTGGACTTTTTTTGGTTGTTTCTGTCTGTTTACAGGAGTGAGACATAGAGAGACAGAGAGACACAGACAGAGAGAGAAAGTAAAAAAGGTTTAGCACCAGATTCACATCCTGAAAATGACATACTGTAGCATGCATAGCTTCAGACAGTGTTCACTGTGCAACATTAATCATCAGATTGTGCTGACAAGGTGCTTTAGCACTCAGAGAAACATATGATTGGCATGTGCAGTCTGTCAGAGGCCATCACTGAAACTCAGTCACATTGCCCCTTTTATGCTCCAGCTGATCAGCGGTACACAGGTTACTGCTACTAATATGCCAAGTAGTAAATTTAATCAAGCACTGAATGCACTTACTGTATATTTGATTTTTTTCAGATGTTATGAGATAATATTAATGAAAAATTGAAGACCACGATTTTGATGACACTACAAAAACAATCTTCTTAAAAGTGAATGTCAACACATCAAACCTTGAAATGAAAAATAAACTTACTTTATGCTGACCAAACACAAATAATAACAATTCTACAGATGGAAAATCAGCTCCAGTGAGGTGACAGTCTTATGCAAAAGCAAAAGATGTGAAGACAGTAAATTTCAGAATAAAACACAGACTTGCAGAAGACAAATGTGATTGCATGAAGATTACTCTTCTGGGTTGGACAGCAACCATAACATTTCCAAAACTAATTCAAACACCCTCTGTCAGAAATGTATTTCTAAAAAACAAGTGAGAAAATAACAAGCCTCTGTAACATCTAAAACGAAAAGTGATCAAGAATTTATCTAATAAGCTCCAAATCTCATCTTCACCATGCTAAAATGAAAGCAAGGGATCAAATTAAATCGATTTCAGGCACTAGAAAAACTTTCAAGGAAAACCATTGAGCTTGATTAAGCAACCCTTTATAGTAACTGCTTTAAATAGATAGAAATGGACAGGCTCACGAAAATAGACACTGAAGAACAATTACGCAGCACAGCCCATTTTTACGCACGGAGTGGAAAAAAATGTTTCGCCAGTTTGGAAAAAATATCGGTTTTAAATAGGGCATGTAAATCATTCCAGATGAAATGTATGAAAGGAAATGGGTTTGAGCTGATTTATAGAATTTTCGACAAAACTGATGCTATTTGAAATCATACCTCTGGACATCCTTCCAATTCTCCAAACGCATCAGCAAAGTCAGAAGGACTTTTCTTCAGAGTCTGGTCAGCAGGAAGTGTGTTGTCATTATAAGATGTCACAAACTTAAAGTCACTGGTTCTAGAACCTGTTGTCAGGTACGCGTCATAATTGTAAGTGCTGCGTAGAGTTCCTGTGCCGTCAACATCTGCGTAATTAGGAGGCAGATAAGCGCTGGGGATGGCGACTGCTCCGTCAAACAACAGTCTGGGCTTTCTCCTGCGACAAAACCTCACACCCAGAATGATGATGATGAAAGTCAGAAAAAAGGTGGATACAGACACCAGAGCGATGATCAGGTAAGAGGTCAGTTTGGAATTCTTCTCGTCATAAGAAATATCCTTCAGTTCTGGCACCTCAGCCAAGTTATCAGAAATAAGTAAATACATGGAACAGGTGGCAGAGAGAGAGGGCTGTCCGTTATCTTTAACTGCCACAATAAGGTTCTGTTTCATGCTGTCAGATTCAGAAATGTCCCGCTGTGTCCTGATCTCTCCGCTGTGGAGACCAATAGTGAAAAGTCCCGGATCAGTGGATTTCACTATATGATAGGACAGCCAGGCGTTCTGTCCGGAGTCCGCGTCCACCGCTATCACTTTGGACACCAGAGAGCCTCCGTGTGCAGCTTTGGGGACCAGCTCGGTCATGAAGGAGTTGCCCTCCGGGGCGGGGTACAGTATCTGAGGAGAGTTGTCGTTCACATCTGATATGAAGACACTGACGGTCACGTTGCTGCTGAGCGGAGGAGAACCGTTGTCTCTGGCCATCACGTGGACTTTAAAGCTCCTGAACTGTTCATAATCAAACGACCTCACAGCGTGGATCACCCCCGTGTCTCCGTTAACAGACAGATAGGAGGACACCGGGGCACCGTTCACCTCACCAGCTAACAGAGAATAAATCACTGTACCGTTTTGTCTCCAGTCGGGGTCTCGAGCAGTAACGGAACATAAAGTGGAGCCAGGTTTGTTATTTTCAGTCACATATGCGCTGTACGACTGTTCCTCAAACACAGGTGGGTTGTCGTTGATGTCAGCTACAGATAACTCAACAGTTTTAGAGGAGGACAGAGGTGGAGAGCCCTCGTCAGTGGCAGTGATTGTAATGTTGTAATCAGACACTAGTTCACGGTCCAGTTGTCCTGTGGTCACCAGAGAATAATAGTTTTTAATAGAAGGAACCAACTTAAAAGGGACATTCTGCTGAATGGAGCAGCGGACCTGTCTGTTATTCTCTGAGTCTCTGTCCTGCACGTTAATGATGCCCACCTCTGTACCAGGTGGAGTGTCTTCTGGTATGGGATTCTTCAGTGATTTCAAAGTGACTACAGGGGCGTTGTCATTCACATCAGTGATATAAATTATTACTTTAGCATAGGATGAAAGCCCTAACCCATCTTTTGCTTTAACGCGTATTTCAAATGTTGTAGTAGTTTCATAATCAACAGCACCGATTACTCGTATCTCACCTACTTTACGGTCAATACTAAATATCTTCTTCACATCTTCAGTAACATGTCCAAAGTCATATGTCACATCTCCATTGACTCCTTCGTCTGCATCAGTCGCGCTCACTGTGACCACCACAGTATCTAAAGGAGAGTTTTCAGGCAGACTGGCTTTATAAACGGCCTGGCTAAACACTGGGGCGTTATCATTAGCATCCAGCACAGTGACGTGTATGACTACGGTACCTGATCTCTGAGGGGAGCCACCATCTAGAGCTGTGACGAGCAAATTAATGTCCTCTTGTTTTTCACGATCAAGCTCTTTATCAAGAACGAGCTCTATTGTGTTTCCGTCAACAGCCAAAACGAAATTCTCGTTCTTCTTAAGGCTGTAGTGTTGAACTGAATTTTGGCCTACATCCGCATCGTGTGCCTCCTCTATCACAAAACGAGCTCCCCTGTCTGCCGACTCTTGAATTTCTACATTGATACGTTCTTCGTTAAACTGTGGTGAGTTATCATTAATATCTTGGACGTGAAGACTAATCCGATGAAGTTCAAGAGGATGCTCCAGCACGAGCTCATGTTTTAGGATGCACGAAGCCTTTTCTCCACAGAGCCCCTCTCGGTCAATCCTGTCGGCAACAATCAATTCTCCGTTATTCAGGTTTATGTCACAGTAACGTTTGTCAGTCCCGTCAGTGTCAATGCGGGCTCTCCTTTTAGAGAGCACGCCCGTTTCCAGCCCAAGATCCTTGGCTATATTCCCAATAACTGATCCTCGTTTCATCTCCTCTGGAAAAGAACAGCTAATGTCTCCATATGCGATATGCAAAAAAAGAAAGAGGAAACAGAAGCAGCGCGGCTGAAACAAGATCATTTTCGAATCCATCGTCAACGATGAGCTCCCCGTGCGGCGAAGAAACGATTAAAGAAACAGTTTCACTACATAACACGAATAACAGCAGCGATCCAGCGTGATTGCGACGCTATCTAAACCGGTCAATGGGCGTACAAGAACGTCAGTCCACAGAGGATAGAGGAATTAAATCATTGTAAGGATGGTGTATAGCGACACCGTGAGTCCAACAATAACAGCGATTAAAAAATAAAAGGAACACTGTTAAAATCATCTCCGCTTACACAGCTTTAAAAAAAAATATTCCAAATAAAACATAAGGTGAATTAACTCTCACATTTGCAACCTCAAGTACCCACAACCAGTCTTGATCTGGATATCAGTTGTATGCTGTGTATGCATTTAGGTCAGCGCATCACTCACGTGAAGGTATGTGGACAGCATGCACTTTTTCAAGCCATACTTTTTAAAAAAATAACGATATCATGGGCAAACTACATACACAACAAGTCCTGTAAATGATTTCAGGTTATATTTTAAATCTTTGAGTCCCTACACTTAAATAGCATAATCTGCAGTCTAAATGGACTGTAGCACACACGACCACAGAGAGCCGCTATTGCCACATAACTTAACATGTTTGTAAGTTGTATAAAAATCACACCACATATTACAGTAACTGCAGTCTTATCTCAAGCTAGTGCAATAGTATGAAGTAATTTATTGTAATAAAAGTTAGTTTGATTCACACCATACATTAAATGTATATTAAATTCATAGCCTCTAGAAATGCCCAGACCGGGCAAGGCTGTCTTTGACCTGTGTCAAAGAGACCAGAAAAATGGACCTCAGTACTAGAATCAGACCAGTAGACCAGATTTAGTTAGTCTTATAGGCCTCTAAAATTGAGAAGGTCATGCCATGGCCACATCAATATGGAGAAGCAAGACCACAATCCCAAAATAATAAGCCACAAACACAGAGGAAGAATCCCGACAATCCCACAGGAAATCCAGAATATCAGAGAGAACCATACTGGTTATCAACTATTCCATCTGCATGTCATCAATAGGCTACTCGACCTAACAACTACAAACAGAGATCCAAAACAACAAGGGTAAGAGCACAGTCAAAAGAAGAACTGTAAGTGGTTCAACAGAAAGATGATTTAATGAGCTGAGAGTAAGAGATACAATCCACTGAATCAGTTTATGGCCATGGAATGTATGATTGAACTCTTAAAAGTAATATGATGGAACAATTATGTCGATTATTGTTTTACAGATATGTTATAATAATCACAAGATAAAAATCAAGAATGAGGACACAGATAATTCTGGAAATAGTTTTTGAGTAATGTTTGATGAACTGTTACTTATTTTTAATCCAATGCTATTGTGTTATTAAAAGATGGTGAAGTGAAAGTGAAAAGTACCAGAGAGGCTGAGCAGACACAGATGGTGGGAGGCAGGGGAAGTACCTGAATTACAATAATGTTAGATTTTTAAAAAAAAAAAAAAGAAAAAAAAAAAAGAAAAAAAAAAGCAAGATTGTGAGTTTGTGGCAACCATGACATGAACATTTGGTACATGACCTAAGAAATTTACCAAAATTGGAGATGTTTTCGGCCATACAACCATGAGCGTGATCATAGTTCCACTCAGTCCTTTGGTAACTGCAAATGATATAATGTAGGATGTCCATGTAGGGCAAGTAAAAAGGGTATAACAATGCTAGGTTTAAGAGAAGCAGGGAGCACTCATCAACTGCCTGGGGACACAGGGTCGCCTTAACCAAAGCACCTCAACGAGGGAAAGACTCCTGGAAATAATCAACTACCAAAGTGACAGATTTGTGAGTTAAGCCAAGACAGCCTGATGGACCAGAGCGCTTCAACTATGGGACTTTGACAGCAGTTGACGATCCTCTATGACATAATACCACTTCTGCAAAAGCAGATAAGAACAATTTTTTTTTAGATTTTTGGACTGTTCCATCGTTCAACCTTATCCCACAGAATCCGAAGAGGTTGTGAATAGGATAGTTAGAATAGATAGGAAGGTGTTCCAGGAAATTAATAGTTGAAAATTGTTGTATTTCTATATTCATAACCTTTGAATAAATGTTTTACTGTTTATAACTGTTATCTTATTACTTTAAAATAAAGTACATCTTCTGCATTTAAAGTAAAGGTTTCCTAGCTTTATTTTATCTAACCTAAGGGTCTCTTAAAAGTGCCAGTAGCCTCTCCTCAGTGATCCCTAGCATCAAAAGTATATTTGCAGCTTAAATGATATCCAGCATCCACAACAACTGTTACAATTAGAAGGGAGATGTTGTGAACCATGTTTTCATGAAGTATTCTAAGGTCAGCCCAGACAAGGTGCTAGTGAAGAGGAAGCGGGGGCTTTAAGAAGAAGAAGACAGTTAGTAGCTGGGCAAATCTCCTTTGCCTCAGCTTATATTTTATATGACTAGAATTCTGTTCAGGTGTTCAGTCAGGCAACTTAATCTTTTTTTTCTCCACTTTAACGTGATGGATGAAAAGGACTCTTTCTTGGGTAACATCTGACGTCATACAATCAGCTTCAGTATGTTGACAAAATTTCATTTTACAGGTTCCAGGAAGAGTATGAGACATGCGATAAGTTTATAAACAAAATCATTGTTTAAATTCTGACTTGGACACTACTTCTATTACCAATGTTTGGATACAGAACTACAATTAATCGAGAGAAAACTCAATGAAAAATCAAAACCATAGAAATATTGCTTGGAGAAAAAAAACATTTTTCTCTAGACTTGTTTCTATCATAAACTGTGCTCGAATCAGAAATGAATCAAAAACATCAAAGCTCAAACAAGAGAAGCCAATGTAACATAATTGTTGATAATTGAAGTGGATAGGCTTTAAATGTAAAACCCTACTTTCTTCAGGCAGTGTCTTCCGCCTGTGCTCTATTTTATTACACAATGAAAGCATTTCCAAGGAGATTTCATACATCTAATTTGTGAAATACACATAGCAGTCTGCTAGATACCATAATAATATATGTCCCTGGACTATATTGAAACATCAGTGCTTATGAAAAATGTTTAATGTAAAAGTCAGGTATTGTATAAGACATGTGATGGTGATTATGGCCACAGACATGAGTTCCTCCTACACAGTGAATATGTGATTGTGTGAGTGACCTAATTTACTACTGACATTCTACTGTTGTGGAGTCTGATTACTAAGAACCAGTTGCATTGCACTGTATGTTGCGATCAAGTTGATTACTGATGTAAATGAAACATTTGTTTTTTCAAGCAGATAGCTGGATTTCACATAAGTAGACACAGAATCTGTATATTTGATGATGTTTATGTAATGAAAAATTAGAACCACTTGCTAAAAACAATTAAAGATGCTACGCCTTAAGAAAAGAATGTCACTGTGCCAAAAAACATTAATGGTAGCAGATCGGTAATGAATAAACCGCTCAAACAAAATGTTTCACTCATACAAAAGCTTCAAAATGTACCTACCAAATCAATGCAAAGAATCTATTGAACACATAATTCTAAAGACAATACATGATATTCCTAAAAATCAAATATAGATGTAAGAGACATGAGAATCATATCCAGAACTGATTAAATGAAATGACCTGTAAAGACCATGAATGTACTCAAATGTAACAAGTTATGACGTCTTCCAGTACTTAAGAGCCTCAGGTC